CATAGTGTAACAGCGCCTTAACGATCTTGACAAACCTTACCCCAAAAAATGAAATTTGACACCCGTTTTATAAATTCTAATATTAGGGTAACTTTCACCTAACATGGTTCAAGACTATTATAAACTATATCGATCTTGACAAACCTTGCCCCAACAAATGAAATTTGACACCCGTGTTATGAATTCTAATATTAGGTAACTTTTACTAACATGGTTCAAGAACGCTATAGACTATAACGATCTTGACAAACCTTACCGCAGAAAATGAAATTTGACACCTGTTTTATGAATTCTAATATTAGGGTAACTTTCACTAATATGCTACAAGAATATTACAAACTATATCAATCTTAACAAACCCTACCCCAAAAAATGAAATTTGACACCCGTGTTATGAATTCTAATATTAGGGTAACTTTTACTAACATGGTTCAAGAATGCTATAAACTATAACGATCTTGACAAACCTTACCCCAAAAAATGAAATTTGACACCTGTTTTATGAACTCTAATATGAGGGTACCTTTTACTAACATGGTTCAAGAATTTTATAAACTATACCGATCTTGACAAACCTTACCCCCAAAAATGAAATTTGACACCCGTGTTATGAACTGTAATATTGGGGTAACTTTTACTAAAATGCTATATGACGCCAGTCGTTGGAGAGTAGGAATTCAAACATTTATAGTTAATCGGAGGCTGTGATTAACAATTTAGAGTGTTAAATTTTTATTGAAATTATTATATTTTATAATTTATATTATGAATGTAGCTAGGAAGGGTCTAGGAATTTTTTTGTAAAAACATCTTATGCTATAGGTAGAAAGTTAATAATTAGTTCCAGCTAATAATAGTATTCTAAAGTTAAATTTGTTTCTCAGTCACATGTAATTCATACACGGTAGAATTGAAATTAACACGAGCTGTTTAAAATTACTTGTGTATGTCATCCATTGCTTCATCGAATTTCACATTGTCTACTTCAATCAAACCTCCTACACTCTGAGAGGGTGTTGCTAGCTGAAACGTTACAATATTATGATCTGGGACAGGTATGACCACTATATCAGACCACATCTTTTTAAGGCTCTGTAATTGTTGCTGATAATATACCATTTTTGACCATGCAAGAGAACGCAAACCAATTTACTTCTTCTCAAGCACTTTATGACCCAGAAATGACCTGATAATTTCTATCTGACTGAGAAAGAATGAAGAAAATTCCAACATTTCATTTTGAAGCAAAACAATCTGTTATTGGCACCTTTCTTTTAGGCAAAATAATTCAATTGCCCTTTTTTTATGCTGATAAGTGTGTCTGCTTCTTTATTAGCAACCATAACACTGCGAAATATTTCTCCAACAGGATTCTTTATGTTGTTGAAAGACATGACACTGTCAGATAGTCCATTAATGAGACCAAGATTACACTTCATATTGGAAACCATGCGATCAATTTGGTTCCCAAGCTCAATGGCAATTGCTTGTCCATCTAAAATAAAAATACGTCACTTTGCTAAACAACCATTTTTCTTTTATGGAACTTACCATGCCAGGTTATTTTCATAATATTAAACACATGATATCTGTATTCAATACCTGCATACTTTGCCTTTAGTTCCAGTAAAAAGACTCTTTCGGATGCCATACAATGAAGAGTGAGTAGAATGGTTTGTTGTTTCTTGACATTTAGCCTTTTTGAAGCATTCTGAATAGCCTGTTCACCTTCTTCCCATCTCTTTCGCACACCATGTTTTCTTTCCATTCCTGATAAAGCTTTTTCGTTCCTGTCGATCATAAGTCGATTAGATTAGTCACAGCCTCTGGATGCGAGGAATCATTCCATTCATGAATCAACCGGTGAATCATTCAAAGGATACCTTTGCCAATATCAATTGCAAATGATAAACAACAGTACTTTACTTCTTCTTTTTCTTCTCAATCACAGGCATCTGTTCTGGCTCTTCTTCCTGAGCGTAATTCAATTCATCCCTATAACATATATGTAACATATCCCGCTCTGGTATAATTAAACATTTTCACTATTCACCGATTTTTAAAAAAAAATGCAATGTTGCAAGAAAACGCGTGGGCAGTGGGTTTGTAAGGCTCCATCGAAAAATAATTGCTGTAAGTCATTTATATCATTGAGCGATTTGTTTCATCCTTCATCTTACCTTGATTTCTTGGAAGTAAGTAGCAAATCAACATGGGACTCATCCCACTGATAATAGTCCAGGTCTAAGTATAAAAAAGTCACCATACTGGATAATGATAATGCCGTAACTAAAGTAAGATACTATACTAGTCTAAAATGCAGGAACTGATCAACGTAATTGTGTTGAACAGTTCTGTTTCCACATAGAAAAATATTTGGCATTACTTTCTGTCACTGGTGATATTTCTTTTTTTTCTTCTTCAATCCATGCCCTAATGACTGTCTCATTACATCCATCTATAACATAAACGTTTGACAGAGTAACCTATAAACAAGTCTAAAGAGAAAAGTTTTCTTCGTACCTGGTAGATTTGTCAAAAGATTGCTCAGCTCTGCTTCAACAGTAGTCAATAATGATGTGGTCCGAACGTGTTTTGCCATTAACATTGGGCCTAAAGTTTAAAAAATATACTATAAAAACATATACTTGGGTCATAATATTATACACTTAATGTATGCTAGCTTCCGAGGGAAATAGCGAGTATTGTTTTCCCAAGAGTCTGAATGTTTCCCGAGACGAAGTTGAGGAAAACATTGAGACTCTACGTAGAACAAGACTCACTATTTCCCGAGGTAGTGTACGTTAAGTTGTTTGTTATACAGGGTGTATAAAAAAAAAGTAGACAATTTTGAAATGTTAAGAAAACTATAAATTTGTCAAAATATCTCATTTGTCTACTTTTTTTTATACACCCTGTATAGGAACAAAAACATACATATCCAAAAACAATTTCATTAAAAAAACCCACTTTACTTTGTTATGACAAGAAGGGCAACATGCAATTTTTCACTTGTTTCCCGCCAGGGAAATTGCATTTATTTAAAATCATGTCACTACGAATGAACCAACCAAATTTAGAATACACAGCACCTATATAACAATCATCTTATTTCTTTACTGTGGTGTTTGCCGTAATGAATTGAAGCATCCGTCAAAACATCAACTCTTTTGTCAACTGACATTTCTTTGGTAATGGTAGAAAATTGTCTCATGAATGTCCTTCGCGGACTGTATTTTACCTAAAATTCGAAAAGGAAATCATTAGTAAAATGACTACATACTAATGCGCCAGGAAAATATGAAACATCCTGTATGATAAATCTGATTAAAAATTGTCACGCCAAACTTATCCAATCATACGAAATGACTACATTATAATCAGGCGAAAAAAGTCATTGTGACATAATTTTTGAAGGATTGCGTTTCTCATGACCACATATGACATATCAATTTAGACTATAAATAATCATCAATACCTGACAAGAAGGTTTGTGACCATAACTGTGAAATATGGGTATAGCCAGACTTGTGTCAGACAAAAAAGATCCCTGATCAAAAACCTAATGGAATATTCAATTACCAACTTCAAAAAGACTGGCATGCTGCAGTGCACGCATCTTCTATGAATATGAGGTTCGTCAGTATTGCCAACCTGAAGAAGATTTGATAACAAACATGCGATGTCATACATTAGAACAATATTTAATGCATTTGACGAGATGCTTGCTTTAAGCTTTTCCAACTCGTAGACCGAGAACGAAATCTTATAGAAGAAAATTAATAGTATATTGTATTATACATGGGGCAACTGGAAACTAACGTACATAGTGAACACTCTAACTGTACACACACACACACATTGTGCACTCTCATCAACTTATCAATTTGACAATTCATCTCTGCCTGTCCAAGCACTGTCATGAACCTTGTTTCACGCGTGGATAATATGTGACACATGTATATATGTATATAAAGAGATTACTTCATGGTTGGCGAGTGCGTACGATTTTTATGCACGAGTTGTGAAGGATCCTTTGCAACGAGTGCATAATAAAAATCGTACAAACGAGCCAACCATGAAGTAATTTGTTTATTAAATGTGTATAGAGATCAATTTGACAACGACATGCTTTTAATATGTATATATATATATGTATATACGTTTATATGTATATATGTAGACAGATAGATGTATATATATATATATATATATATATATATATATATAATATCAATTTGACAACGACACGCTTTTAATATGTATATATATATATGTATATACGTTTATATGTATATATGTAGACAGATAGATGTATATATATATATATATATATATATATATATATATATATATATATATATATGTAGACAGATAGATGTATGTATATATATAAATATATATATATATATATATATACAATGATTTTCTGGCGAATCCAGGGCAATGATTCCCTGGCAAATCCAGGGCATCGTTGTTGGTTTCTGTCGTAACCCGTGGCTGTTCATGGGATGACTTGTGCGAGATCTCTGTCGTTCCATTGACTTGGGGGGCGAGATACTTGATGGCTACAGTATCTTCTCTTCCATCCGGAAATCTAACATATGCATACTGAGGATTTGCTTCAATCAACTCCACTTCGTCTACTAGGGGATCAAATTTGGATTTTCTTACTTGGCACTTCAATAAAACTAACCCAGGAGTGGTTAACCATGTTGGTACAGAAGTTCCACTGGTCGATAGACGTTGATGGATGAAGAGGCGCTCGTGTGGGGTGACATTGGTTGTGGTGCACAACAACGATCTGATAGAATGTAAAGCGTCATGCAAGACATCTTGCCAACAGCTGACAGGAAGATCTCGTGTCTGGAGGGCTAGTATAACAGCCTTCCATAAAGTACCATTCAATCGTTCCACTTGTCCGTTTCCACCAGGGTTATATGGCATAGTTTGGCTCGATGAGATTCCTTTCTGAAACAGAAAATCTTTAAGCTTAGCACTCATAAAACCTGAACCTCTGTTCGTGTGGATATACATCGGATATACATAACATTTTCTTCCCCGGCTCTGTAAACTATGTCGAAATAGTAAGTAGACAATTCCAGTCTCCATCTCATAATCTTATTGTTCTTTATCTTGCTTCTACGTTTTGTGTCGAACATATATGGTACCGACTTCTGGTCGGTGATCAGGGTGAAATGCTTTCCTGTTAAACAGTGTCTCCATTTTCTTACAGCTTCTACAATAGCGGCAGCTTCTTTCTCAACTGATGAATGCTTTAATTCCGAGCCACTCAATGTTCTCAAAAAGAATGCAACTGGTCGACTGTTTTGATTCAAAGTTGCCGAGAGGGCAAACACTGACGCATCTGTTTCACTTGGAATGGCTGTGCTTCGTCCACTGCTTGAACTACAGACTTTTCTACATCTAGTTTTAAAGAGTTGAATGACTTCAGAGCATCACCTGCTAGTGAAAATGTCGCATTCTGCGCCAACGGTCTCACTTTTGTAGCAAAGTCTTTTATCCACTGCGAGTAGTATGAGAAGAGCCCTACCGCTCGTTTCTGTGCTTTCCGATCTCTAGGGACAGGTAATTCTCAAAGTGGGCTCAACCTTTCAGGATCCGGTTTTATGTCTTCGTTGCTAACCACACTGCCAAGAATACTAATGGTTGTCGTTGAGAATATGCACTTTTCTTGATTAAATGTCAAAATTCTTCTCTTTGCGGCATTTAGAAAACTTTCAAGATTTCTGTCGTGATGAGCTTGATCATGACCACAAATTGTGATATTGTCGAGGTATGCAAAGGTGTCTTCCAAAGATTCATCCGTTATAAAATTATCCATTGTTCTTTGGAATGCTGCTGCACCATTCGTCACTCCAAATGGCACTCTGCGGAATTGATACAAACGTTGATTAGTTTCGAAAGCGGTATATTTCTTCTCTTCTTCTCTAATTGGAACTTGATGGTACGCACTTTTCAGATCAATGGTGCTGAATACTTTATACTGAGCAATCTTAGTGACGGTTTCATCTATCCTAGGCAATGGATATGCATCAAGCTGAGTAAATCGATTGATTGTTTGCAAATAATCAATCACCAGCCTCTTCCAATGCCTCTCGTTCCAAGTCACAACGACTTGAGCTCTCCACGGTGAATCACTTGGTTCTATGTTACCTTCTTCTAAGAGTTTTTGAACTTCAATCGTAATGAACTCTCTATCTTCACAGCTATATCTCCTAGATTTGGTAGCTACAGGTTTGCAATCAGCTGTTAGGTACTGAAATAAGGGAGGGGTTTCCGTCTTCAAAGATGTCAAGCCACATACTTTCAAGGGTGGGGCAGCTCCGCCATAGTGGATTGTTACACTTTTGTGTTGTGCTTGCCAATTCTGTCCGAGAATAATATCAGTACACAAATTGGGCAGGATATACAGCTTAACATTGGGGTATATCCTACCTTTCAAAGTTATATCAGTGTAACAATACCCCTGCATATTTGTGGAAAATGTTGAAGATGCCGTAGTAACTTTTTCATGTGTCTGATGTACTGTCAGAGAATGCTGTTTAACCAAATCTGTGTGTATAAAGCTATGGGTACTTCCAGAGTCTATAAGTGCTGTGACAGTTTTCCCTTCTACTGAGATATGAACACATGAACTATGTAATGACTTTCCAGCTGCAGCCAAAGTTATATAAGCAGATTGTGCATGTGTTGAATCATAGCTGACTGCAGCAGTAGAACGACGAACCCTCTGGTAATGCCCTTTCTTTTTATTCGTTACAGATAGCCTCTCTTGCAGGGCATATTGAACGAGCATGCGGTCTATTACCGCAAAAGAAACATTTTGCAGTATGTGAAGTGGATGCTACATAACTCTCACCCGTTTCTCCTGCTTTATTCTGTTCGTCGGGTTCTGGTGAGGTAGAAGCAGCAGCACTTGTTGCAAAATCTGAGTTGTAAGTCTCCGAGGTTTTATTCGCCGTATTCAGAGCACAAGCTTGGTCAAATGCCGTTTGTAGATCCAATGTCTTGTTCTCAAGTAAACATTGTTGAATGCTTCCAGACAATAAACCACTGATAAATGCATCACGAACAGCTTCATCACGATTTTGAGCAGCAGAAACTTGGCAGAAACTACAATCTTTACTTAGAAGCTTTAGTTCTTGAATGTATTCATCAAGCGTTTCACCAGTCTGCTGTTTTCGTGTTGCTAACTTATGTCGAGCAAAGATCTTGTTTGGAGTCTTAACATATAAAGTTTTTAACAAGTGATAGCTTCTTCGTACGTCTCAGATTCACAGAAGAGCTGGTAGAAATCAGATGTAACATAATTGATCAACATGTGCAAATTATTCACTTGTGAGTCTGGTGAAGAGGGTATAGCAGCTACAAAGTTTTTGAAGGTCATCAACCAATGCTGCCATCGTTTTGCAGCATTCTGTACATTTGGAGTTACATCAAATCGATCCGATCTCAACGCTTTATTCATTGCTTTTACTGAGTGTTAAGTAAATTGTTATAAGTAAAGTAAATAAATGACAACCTTTCTTGAGTAGGCCACTGGTCTTGAAGAAGAAGATGCAATCGATCATGATGGTCCTAGACGAGAGTTTCTACACCTGCTCTTCGGGGCCATATGCAATTATAGCAGTACATTAATAAGTACGTTAGTTTTGTACAGTGGCGTAGCCAGGGTCTTAATTTTGGGGACAAAGCACTATTAGGGGGGTTTGGGGCATACTTCCTTTGGGCTTTCCTGCATTTTGGGAGTGAGATTTTTCAGAAATTTGAATATTATATTGTGCATGAATGAAATTATTTTTTATGAAGCAGCCCCAGAAACATCTATACGGATTTAGACTTTTTGCAAAAATGGTCATGAAAGAGATTTGGGGAGGAGGGAGGGCAGTTGCCCCCCCCCCCTCTTAGCTATGCCACTGGTTTTATATAAGAAAGATCAAATAGCATGTACAGTATTATGAATGCAGATGATTGCTAAACATTAGTTTGTCCCCATGAAATCTGGAAATCTCCACCTCATTTGGAATGAGTCTACTAAGGCCAAACTATAGTAATATACCTTTTCAGCAATTTAATATGCGAATTGCTTATTTCAATGTTTCAAACGTCTTGTGGTATGTGATTTTCTGCACGAGGCTGACTCCAATTCAGTTACAAGTGCATTGCTTGTATTATTGTAAGTATATACCTAATAAATATAATACTCATTAAAATCGTAATTTAATGTTGAACTTGTCATCATACATGAACCTTCTTAAATTTTGCAGGTACATCAGTTGGCTATGTTATGAGATGCAATGTCCGTGCATTACAAACTATTGGTCAAATGCTAGCAACTATAATCATCCAAGGGGGTGAACACCCAAGAATTTCTCTCCAGCTATATGTAGTTACATTGCAAAAGGATTAGAGTTTTGTCAACCTGGTATAGTAGAAATTCCTGACCCATTTGTTCGGAATTCCTTAAAAAAGGTACAACAGCATAAACTCAATAAAGTGCTCATAGTGTTTAGGAAATTTGTAGTATCTTAACACCCATAGAAGAAAGAAAGTGGATATGAAACTGTCCTTAGCCTAAGCAGTCTTTATAGGAGTTAATTCATTGTTCAAGTGCATTTAGCCTCCTCTGCAGGCACCCCTGTTGGTCTTGGCTATGTAAATTATTACATAATTCTACCCCTCAGCCATGCACAGAGTTGCCTGCGAAGGATGCTAATTTGCATTAACTGTGGAATGTCATTTGTAACAGGAGTTATGTTTATGATGACAGCTACTGTATTTTTCCAGGTCGAATACCACTCCCCTGTTGGAGGGCCTTTTTTAAGAATTTTTGAGTGGGGGAGGGGGCATTGGCAAAATGGGACAACCCACAACAAAGGAGGAACAAAGTAGGAATGCCAATTGTTGTGGGCATGAGGGAATGTCCCCCAGCTAATTTTTGAAATCATTAGTTTGGAAACACCATTCCTACATTCTGAGCCATCAAATTTGTTCAACAAAGACATAATGTACATTCAACAAATATTGGATTTTTTATAAGGAATAGTCAGAATAACTGTTTTTCATTTTCTTGAGCTGAATTATTCAGCAGTTTTTGTCAATATCTTCCAAAAATGGACTTGGGGGCTAAAATGGTTGAGTGGGGGGGGGGGGGTAAACATGGGGGATGACACATATTTTATTTCACAGCCAGTATTGAAATCGGAGCATTCAGTAAACAAAATATCCCTCTTTACAGGTTGGAAAACGCCCCTGTGATGATCGGTAGTTCTGTCTTTTCTAAAGATATTATAGTTATCCGGAAAGATCTCGATACTCGTTATACCAGAAAGAAGCAAGTAGGGAAATTGATGCTTATTCTTTCCAATTATAGTCATTTGATAAAACTTCTTCGTGACCAGATAGCTTTCTTTCCTGGGCAAAGCGAAAGGTAAATTCAAACCTAGGGATTTCTTAAGTATAAGAGAGATTAGTTGCTTCCTTGTTGCTAAGTTTTTGTTCCAATAAACAGCCCAATAAGAAAATTACTGTTAGAGCAACAAATTGCATGGCCGCCATTGAAAGATTGTTGATTGATGTCCTGGTCTGACTGTACAAAGTTCTACAAACCATTTCAAACCAATAAAATGTTGATGAAAGTTTTTTGGACCCTGACAATTTACAAAGACAAAAATTAGAACACCTGATGTTTCTGCTAATGCAGATTTTATACCTCCAATTTCCCCAAGTTGGAAGCCTAACCTTTCCAGCTGTTCGTCAGTTAGATTTCTTAATGTTCGGGAGTGTTGAATATCCCATCGGTAAATAGATATTCTCTGTTGGTACCCACGCAGAATTGATTTCACAGTCGGTAAAATTATATTTCTCTTATGCATGGAACATTGGTAGCTTTTGTTTTGCACAGTTCATATTTCGCTAATGCAGATTGTCTGTTTCATTATCTTTAGTGGTTCTTGTTCCTAAACCCACTAGCAAAATTCGTATTGAATAGAATAGCCCAGGTTAAAAAAGAACCCAGCAAATTGATAACTATAGCTCCATTATATTTCGCTCATGGTGATTGTTTACGTTTGTTTATCTCTTTGTTATGAAAACTTCCCGCAAAGTTTATAAAGATAAAATGTAATACAGCCGTTGGATTAACTTTCGCAAATTCATAACTTCATAGACCATAATTCGTTTAAATTTTTTTAATATTATAGATATATTTCTCAACGATGCAATGCAATTATTATAAAAACAGTAATATACTAACTAAACTATCCATAATCCACAAGTGTGAGGTGTCGTATTATGTGTTTTCTGGCACGCATGCTTTCAGCATCAGATATTCAAAATGTTAAAGACTTTTGTGCACCAGCGAATATTTCCTCCTCACAGTGGTGCCACTGATGCCGTGCAATGAATTAACAGTGGGTTCGAAAATTACAGGCGTATCTGCATCAACTGTTAAGGCTTTAAACCAAAATAGTGTGCACCCAGACACAATCAGTGAGGCAAAATGTTTATTAGGCTTGGGGTTTAGCTTAATAACTTTAATAAAGTAAGCTTAATAAAATGTATTTTATCGTAAATATCAACTATTTTTGGAATTTCACATCGGGGACACTATCTGCGGTAAAGTAATTAAAGGAGAAACTATATCTGTGGCCAGACACATGCTAATAAGGACTTTCCTCACAAGCCTAGTCACATTACAAAGATTATTTTATTGACAAAACTTAAGGCAATCAGAGCCAAGTATCGTTCAGTGACAAATTTACAATAAATAAGTTACGATACTATGATAAAAAATTTAAGTTACTATGTTATGTTAGCTAG